TAAATGTCACAAAAAAGGTTTCATTTCACTTGTTACATCATGTAACTAATGGGCTAAACTATACATGCTCCATACTGTTTGTGTCTTCAGTTTATTTGATCAGCTCCATTGGCCTCATCATTTTTTCTTTCCATAGTTAAAAGCTGATGCTATTGCTCCAAGCTGTAGGTAGGATCAGCATAGTTTCTGTACCAGCTTCAGCTGTTTTTCTCCATCTGCCTCCATATGAAACATGGAAACACACTTCCACTGAAGAGAGTTTTGAAACAGATACCTAAATTAGGACTGTTAATGTCCATAAATTCTTTTTAAAATAAATCTCTCAACCTTGCTATATGTGGAAACTTGACTGTGTTCATTTGGTAAATTTCATTAACAAAATTATTAATAAACAGTATTTACTGGGTTTTAAAATTCAGTTATCTTTTCACAAAACAAGGAAGGAATGGAGACAAGACATAAATACTTGTTACCAATTCCTTTATAGTACATTTTAGTAAATGGGAAAAGGCTTCTTTTAAAAGAAGTTGCTTATTTAAAATAGAAAACAACAACCCCCCTTAAATATCCAGATGAACGTGAATAGTTTGGTACTGTTAATTAATACCTTATTTCGTCTCACTGCACTATCATCCAGTGAATGGCAACAAGCTGTCTGAATTGCATTCTAGTAATGGGGAAAAGGTACACACAGTTCTGCAAGTTCAGAGAAACCTTCAGTTTATTTTGTGGTTTTAAACTGAACTGGACAGTCAACTATTAAAGTGTGGGGACAAGTTTATTGTGCATTTCTATTGGGGTTTTTATTGGTGGAAATTAGTAACAATATTTAATCTAATTGTCTCCTACTAGAACTGGACAAAAGCCATTTTTGATTATTCATTTAAATCTACTACATGCTATCTTGGAAAAGCTGAAATCAAATTGGCTTCAAGCCTTTTTTTTACCTCACAGCATAAGCAGTTGAAAATCTGTACATAATTTTGTGTAATCAGAGGTGCTCTGATTAGGTCTGGTAAGAACTTTCGACTCGGGGCTGTCCACAGTAATTCATTGTCTCTGCCTGCTTGGCCTGACTCCATGTGCCAGAATCCTTTTTCTCTGCAATGGTTTGTCTTTGTTATTCTGAAAGTCAGAAGATCTGGTAAGGCAGTGCTGCTTTTCTCTCTGTGCCTTTTGAGCAGTTTCATTTAGAAGTGCTGAATGTTGTCTCATGAATTTTGCACTCTTCACATCTTGGGTGGATTCAATGGGCTACTGAAAATGGAGCAGTTCCACTGAGGTGTTTACTTTGGAGCACAGATGTATCCTGATGAGCCTCTAACTACAATATGTAGCTCTATTTCACAGTAGATGAAACATTTTGAATTTATTAAATGTTACAAACACTTGGAAAGTTTATTTCTGTGTTAAATCTCAGTATTTCGGAGCTGTTGTCCAGTACAACAGGAAGTCTCTTAAACTTTGGTTGTGTTACTGTTGCTTTATTAACCTTTAGAGATTTACAGATAGTCTGTGATAAATGAGGAGTTGCATGAAGTCCTTGTATACTTTAGGTTTTCTTTTATATCCTGGATAGAAATCTATACTAGTCATTATTTGGTACTTCGCTATTAGCAGAAATTCCTGAAGTAACGAGTGGAGAGTCGGTAAAGGACCCCGCTGTGGCGGAGGCAGGAGCGGTCTTTGCGCAGGCAGGGCAGCGCTGAGGGCCCCGAGCTGCCCGGGAGGGGCAGGGGCAGGACCGGGGAGCTCCGTGCGCTCGGCGGCCGGGCCGGGCCGGGCCACCCGTGGCGGAG